GGACTTCATGGGATTAGAGTTAAAAATAGTGTAAATTTTGGGTGTATTTAATTGCAAGTAACCCTACTTTCTCAGAAAAAATGAAATGAAAAGTTTAAATTTGTTTAATTAAGTTCAAATTTTCCAATGAATTACCAAGTAAAAGCATTGCAGAACTATACTTATCAAGGGTGCTTTGATAAATCACTTTTAACATAGTGTGGATGATATCTCGTTCATAGATTATTTATTTATTTAATTAATGGATAGAAACTTTGGGGATTTACGTTTTCTATGATTCTTTCTTACAATTATTATCTTATTCAGGTACGATGCAACAATAATACTTACTCTCCTTCAAGAGGTTGCTCAGTCTGCTGCAGATGCAAAATTTGATTGGAAAACAATTGTTGAAAGATCATCTTCTGGAATCTCTAACCCACGAGAATATCAGTTGCTGTGGCGCCATTTAGCTTACCGTGAACCGTTGTTGGAAGACATAGATGGTGCTGAACCTGCGGTTGGTTTTTCTCTGGATACAAATTGTATATATACTCTTTCTGGTATTTTGAATTGTGTTATGTTGACAATCCTTTTCCTGAACTGTTTTTGCAAGTTTAACAGATTCTCCATACTTTCTTTTGTAGTTTTTCATCCAAAGTTCTTTGCCTCTGAGGGTGTGTTTTTGTTTGACTGTTTTCCATCCTTGAATTTGTGCAGGTTTAACATATTCTTCTTAAACTATGACAACCTCATCTCCTTTTAAGTCTCTGTTTTTGAAGTATGCAAAAATCTGTGTTGGAAGTCAGCAGCAAATTAGTAATTATCTTTGAGATGATAGTTTTGAGAGGAGACTACTCATGAATTTTAAAACTTTCAAGAAAACAGAAGTATCTGCCCAAAGTTTGCCAGGTCAACTAATCATCCTGCTACTAACTTTATTTGCATATCGAAGAAGCCCATATATCACATTAAAAAGCAGTTGATTGTTTAACATTCCAATTTACTCTTTAATGATCCAAATCATTATCTATGGGCATATATCAGTCTTTTGAGCATTTGCAAGAAGGAAATCTCTTAAGGGCAGTTTGGTTTGCTGCAAAAAAGGACTGCTGCTATATTTGCAGCAACATATATCAACTTCAAATCCATAGTTTGGATTATTTGCAATCTTAGTGTGGAAATTTTATTTCCAGCACAAATCTGGTGTTTGGTTAAAACCAAGTGGCGCAAAAACTGCTAGATTGAATTAGAAAACTGTTATTTGATGTGGTGGCATTGATTTTTTATTTGTTTATTTTCTTTTGCAAAATTGCATCTTTTTCTCCTATCAAATTGGCTAGGAGGGAATTTGATGTAGCTTTTTTCTACAAGTAAATGTGCTTACCTTTCACAAGTACAATTTAGCAAACCAATATGGGAATACAAATCTGATTGAGATACTTGCCTTTGAACAGGGGCGGAGCCAGGAATTCTATCTTAGCCAAGAGTCCAAGATACATAAGTATATATTGGCAATAATTTGTTAGCTCGATTATTTTAAGATATTTTTAGGATTTATTGCAATTAAGTATCCTATAGTTTCTCCTAGTTTGCACTTATATGCACTCACTTGTTTTTTACAACAGTTATACACCCTAAAGTTTTCTAAAACTTTCATTTTAATACCCTCAGTTATGCAAACATGAGAATTTTCCCGCACTGTCGTAAATTGTCATGTAATACTCACATGCTAAATTTATAATTTAAATCTTAATATTTGTTAAATTTATTGTTAAAACTATTAAGATACTGTTTTAAAATAGAATTACAATAGGTTTAACATTAGATTCAACAAAATTAATGGTTAAAAAGTTCTAAAATTAGCATGTGAGTGTCACACTGAGAATTTTCAGAGGAAATCCTCCCATTTGCATAACTTAGGGTATTAAAATGCAAATTTTAAAAACTTTAGGGTGTATATATAAAGTGCTGCCAGAAACAAGTGAGGGTATCTAAAGTACAAAGTAGGGAAACCTATAGGGCATTTAAGTGCATTGAAGCTAATTTGTATGAAGGCTAACCAATATATCTGTATGAATATATAAATTGTCAATTATAACTACCATACATATATGCAAATTACAAAAGTTTGGGGGCACCAAGGGCCCCAAAACTTATACTTAGCTCCGCCCATGCCTTTGAAGCTGTACTTCCTGCCAACCAAACAACCGCTTAATAGTTGAAGCCTTAATATGAAGCAAAATTGTTCCATGATATCTAGTGGCTCATTTATCACTGTGGTAGAATTGCACTTAGACGAGCAATATGTGGTTTTACCCGAAAAGACCAATGTGCTGATAACTGGCTGTCTTAATCCTTGTCTTCCCTTCCCCCAGCTTGCTACCACACGCCAATTACAAAATTTTAAATTCCCATAGTGATATTTATGTTCCTTGATACACCTTGTACGAGATACCAAAATGAATTTCTACAGTAAATTCAATAAAGTTTTGTAATAAATCTAGTGATAATCTATCGTTTCTATTATTTACAAGATTGTTGCAATTGATCGTCAGCTTGCATACTGTTTTTGTTGTGTGTATATTCCATTTTGTTATTTTTTTGTCAGGAATCTTAGTTACACCGACTGCAATAATGATATATTCTAAGATGTTTGAAGCCAACATAATGGATGACATGATTGTTTAACTCATTTATAGAGTTATCCTTTGCGGTGCATTAATATCAATGAAATAACTTGCTTAATTAAATGCTATTTCAGGATGATGATAGTGATTTAGAGTTCGAGCTAGAAATCTCTCCTCCTGCCCGTGGTACAGACACATCACAGGCTGCAGAATATGTGAAGGTGAACTCATGAATTTCAGCAAAAAGCCTGTAGTATTATGTTAACTGAAGCATCAGTACCCTTTCTCTCATACTAATTTTCTCTTGGCAGCAACAAGGAAGTTCTCTTAGATGTTAAGTGAGGGGCTAAGGAGACTTAAACTGTGTGCGTGGAGCAAATGGGATTAATTTGTCTTGTTTTCCAAAAAAAAGATTGACAAAAGGGTCAAGATAATCCGTCCAGAGGGTTTAAGAGGATTTTATCCCCTTGAAATGAGGTGTTGCTGATCCACCTCTTGAGATGGATTAACAAATACTCTCCATTTACACAAAACATCTGATAAGCCTCTCTTTCCATACATCAAGAGGAGCAAAGTATTAATATAGTTGTAATGGATTAACTTAGTCCCTCGTTAGTTGAAATTGTTGTCCCTCATCATTTGAAATTGTTTGACTATTTTCCTTATCCCTCCTCCTCAAGCCTTTACCAAACAGGGCCATAGTCTTTTTGCTAAGAAAAACACTTCTCTCTCTCAAGTTAGTTATCTCTTGTAAGGAAAACAGAAGTAAAGCTTTTATTTCTTTATTACTAGAAAAAAGCACTTCACTGGAGTCATGTTAGGCCCACGCGATGTCTATCCTGTTTCATAAGAGTAAAGATACCAATTCTGTGCACATACTGATTCTATCTATCCTTTTTCTAATGATTGGAAGATGTATCCTCCATATTTATCTACTTATGGGTGAAGATGTCAATTATTCTGATTCTTATGATAGGTTTCATGAATACAGTTGCTAACTGTGTTTTCTGTGAAGTCTCAGCAATTTGTTTTATTTAACTGATTTTTAGGCATAGTCTTCTCAGATTGTTGTTGTGTTCAGGGTTTAATGCCTGCTTGTTTTTCAAGTGAATGTGGCCGACAAATTGATTCTGCAGCTGAAGTTCCATCTGCAGTGGAAGCCGCACGTAATAGTTCCACATCAAATTCTACACGAGCTGATAAAGACAATATAATTTCTGCTGATAGGTCAAATGAAACATTAGGTGGTGTTCCAGGCAATAAAAAAAGAAGAGTTGAAGTGTTTAAAGGAAACAAAACAACTGGTGCAGAGCCGGCTTCAAAGAAGAGAAAAGTTTGGACTGAAGAGGAGGATATGGAGCTAATTGCTGCAGTGCAGAAGTTTGGTGAAGGAAATTGGGTGACCATTTTGAAAGGAGCTTTCAAGCATGATAGAACTGCTGCACAGTTATCCCAGGTCAGTGTTCAAATTAGCTAACCTCTTGTGTCATCTTAAGTCATGTACTTAATTTGAAATTGAGATGTTGGATGGTTTTTAAACTGCTATAGCTGTCGAGCCTTGTTCCGACTAAGTTGCATTTATAGGTGATATTATTGCATTATCTTCACAACTTAGAAAAATAATTGCTCACTTATCAGTACCAGCTATAGGAAATTGTTGAAGTTTGTTGGATACTTATGGTAAAATAGAGTTTTTCTCTAGATATCCTTTCACTGTTTCGTTGTTTCTCCATATAACATAGACTGCCTATTAAATAAATTTATTTCTTTGTTTAGAGATGGCATATCCTCAAGAAGCGCCAATCCAATTCTAATGCACGCTGTTCTATCAAACAGTCTGAAGCACTTGATGCAACACGCCTCGCACTGGGTAGAGCCCTTAATACGTCTATGGTTAAAAGTTTTTCTGTGAAAAATGCAGGTATTTTAATTAGTTTGTCTTTTATATTTCAGCTGTTTATGCCTCGTTTATTGTTAATTTGTTCTGTACCATGTGGAACTGGTAAATCACTTTCACAATCAACTCTCATCTCGAGATTATAAACCATTCTATTTTGTATGTCTCAATAGTCAATGGTTAAAAGTGGGCTCTATTAATTGAAATTTGCCTTTTCATTGATCTGGGTATTGCTTTTCTACTTTTTGAATGAATGATGCTTATGCTTTCTCTTGCTTCTCGTTTTGGTTGCGTTTATTTCTGGTCCAATAAATGGATGCTTACTATTCTCGAGATTAAATCAATATGTTCTTTAAGAGCACTGCAGTTTTTTCCACTTGCAACTGATTTTATACTTTAAACAGATTATTTCTTCATTCTTTCTTGGTGTAACATGTTGAGCTGTAGAGCACTAACACAGACATGACACACTATACAATACAGAAATCTGACATGGTAATTAAATATGTGTTGACGAAACAAGAAAGGACAAATAAAAAAGAAAGAAAATCACAAAAGAAATCTTCTTGTAGGAGACACTGGTTTTTATTTCGGTCTTCACAGAACTGCAGCTCACTTCTCGTGTGGAAACATATACTATCCTAGATGTACACTAAACATCTAACAAGTACCCATTAAGTTCCAATTTTTCTTTTTCTTTTTTTAAATATACAATTCCTAGATAGCCGAAGAGTGCCTATATGTATCCTGGGAGACTAGGATTGCAACTTTTTTCAAGTTAGATGTGCATTCATGCATCATATGTCTAACTATGGTACATTTCTTCATCCTCCACCTACTGCCTTTTTCGTTATAGATCATTTATCTGGTTGAATTTTCTAGAAGTTTATTGTCCATGGAGACTAATAAAGACTAAATGTATAATTGAAACAGGCACTATCCAAATAAAGGTATCTGAAGCATGTAAACCATTGCCTCCTCAAACTCCAAATTTACTACAGGAAACTAGAAAGATATCATCGGAAGCTTCAAATCTACCACAAGAAGCTCCAAAGGGAAATGTGAGCCCTTCAAACAAACTTGAGAGCATTCCAGAAAACCTGCCAGCTTTAGTGAAACCACCAGCAACCGGAAATTCTCCGATAAAATCCGTTGAAACTCAACAGCTACCGCAAGAAGCTTCAAATTTACTTCCCGTGAAGGGAAAAGTGACGCCTTTAAACAAGCCTCAGAGCAATTCTATGATAAAAGCTGCTGCTGTTGCAGCTGGGGGAAGAGTACTTGCGGCTTCAGCTGCTGCTCTGTTGACGGCCACGCAGTTGAAAAATGCTGTTCATATCAGAGTTGGAAGTTCTCAGCTGATGTCGAAGGCTAACAAAGGCCAGAAACAGTTCAATTCTCATCACTCTCCTCCCTTTGCAAGGCCTCCCCCTCTCGGAAACTTGCTTAAGATATCGAATGGATTAATGGCCTCAAGCAATCTAAAGCGAGACAGTCGAAGTCTCGCAGGAAATGCGAAGAAAACGAATGTCAAGGAAACATCTGATGATAAGGGAGATGGGATGAAATTGGATTGTGTATTGAATCAAGACCAAGGGAGAAGTTTGGATGTTGGCGAGGAGGATAGAAGAGTAGAAAAAGATGGTGATGTTACTGAGAAGCAAGTGTAGATATTATTAGCACATAGAGGCTACCTTAGTGTGGATAATTTGGAGGGAAATGAGTTCTAGAGGGAAATGACAGATAGATTATAAGAAGTTGATTAGGAGCATCTTCGCTTGTCTTAGTAAATATGCTGCAATTGACAGTGGTAGATATTAGAAGATTACCGTGAGATAATAGAATAGATTTCAGTGTAGTTTATGTGTATGATGGTAATTTATGAGGAAAAATCAGCTTCAGGTGATGAAGAGAACTGGAGGTCTTGGAAGTCAATTGTTACTTCCTGGTCAACCAAATAATACCCTCTTAAGTTCTCTTGAATGTGTTAGAGCATCTCCAACAGCCTCCCTATCTCATGTCCTAAACTAAATATAAGGATGTTGGAGACTAAATATAGGGAATATGATTTGATATTCCAAATAAATGATAACAAAGTGACTCCCTAATACTTAGTCTTAACATAGGGAGCATTGTTGGAGCAACTTTTCTCCCCTCCTACTCCGTATATTTAGTCTAGGACATGAGATATGGAGCCATTTGGGGAGCATTGTTGGAGATGCTCTTATTCTTTATTTGGTTCTCTATTTTCTAGGATGAGAGATTTGCTCTTCAAATATAGGGAAAACCTAAGATCACTCTTGGTGATGCTCTTAGCCCTCTATTTCTGTGGTTGTTCTTGTGTTATAAGAAAATTTTGTAGCTAAAATGTGCCTGTATATAGCTCCTTGGCCCGAAGGAGTTTAACTAATTCTAGAGTTTTGGATGGTGCATGATGAGACTAAGGCTTCCCTTTTATTGCCTTAATTAATCAAATCATGCATCAGCTTTTCGTCCGGACTTTCGGAATTTTCTTTTTCTTCCGCGGATTGAGCTATGGATGTTTTTCTGGTGAATTAAATAGAATGGATCAAAACAAACATTTTCAGTGTGTGGCCCGGTATGGCCCTGTCTTGGGGCTTTTTCCAACGAATGGCCCATAGATAATAAATAAATAAATCATGAGATTTAAATATGAAAGATATAAAATAAATTAAAATTATGAGTGTGTTTGGGTGAGCTTATTTTTAATTTTTGAAGCTTATAAGTTATCCTAGTTTTTATGCGCTTTTAGCTTTTATGATAAAAATGCTATAAAAATTGTTTAGGCAAAACAATAATATTTTTAGTTACACCTAGCTTATTTAGATGAGCTTATAAGCTAGTTTTTCAATAAATGGGGTATACTAGCTTTTTAAAATGAGGTTTATAAGTTAACTTATTTGATATCTTACCAAAACAAGTATAGATATTAAAAAGCTAGCATAAAAGCTAGTTTGACCAATAAAATAAGCTTTCCGAAACGCCCTCTAAAAAGTTAGCTTAAAAACTAGTTTGACTAAAAAATAAGCTCTCCGAAACGCCATCTATGACTCCTGCACCAACGTTGACTTATTTTTCTTGAGTGTGCGCGCACATGATAAGGGGTTTTTGAGATATTGCCCCCAAATCTCATCTATTTTAACACAAGTCACTCCACATCATGATATTGGGATGCCCCAAATCATTATATTTGGATACAAAGTCCCTCAAAAGTACTAAGTTCTTTGAAACGAGTTCTCCCGGTTAATTCCCATCCACACCCAACTAAACTAACATGTTGTTAGGAACCAACTCCAAATAACAGGGATTTAAGAAAGTCTAAAAAGATAAAACTGATTTTCCATGGTTCAAATGATTCATTGGCTTAATTTCTTTTTGCCTTTGCGTGAGAGAGTAGATTGAAACCAAGGGCAAAAATGAAAAAAAAAAAAAACAATCCCATTAGCTAAGTTGTCTTAAGTAGATGACAATTAACTATGGCGAGCTGTTTCAATAAACTTAATAGTTTTGGAGAACTTGTATCTAAATACGATAATGGGAGGGACTTGCATTAACCATATGAGATTAAGACAAACTTGTATTCAAATATAACGACGTATACAATTATACATCCAAATAGATGAGATTTAGGGGACCAATATATATATCAGAAATCCAAAGATACATGCGTGGAAGCATGTCCAGTCACATTAACGGACCATGGAAGCCATGGGCCTAACTCTGACTATGACGTAAAGCTCAGACGACCCAGTTTCAAGTACTGGGCCTTCCAACCTGTAAACATGCTCATATTGATCCATCTAGTGCTCAAGTAATTGAAGTTGCATTTGCTTTCACTTTTAAGCAAAAGAAATTATATTATGAGTTTAGAGAAGAGTAAGACCTACTTAGAGCATGCAGCCTCCCCAAAGAATATACTATTGTATATTCTTTTTTAGAGGGGGTCACTCCAACCACTCCCTTCTAAAAAAAGAATATACAATGATATATTCTTTACATGATATCATTATATCAAACTTTATTTCTAAAATACATATTATTAAATGATGATTTACATAATACTTTAAATAATTTTTAAAATATAAAACGATAAAAAATTACATTAATTAATTTAAAATATGAAAATTATAAAATATATAAAAAATATTTTATTTATTTTATATTTTAATTTCTCTCAATTTATATTCCAAATATGCAGTCGGGCTCCATTTTTTTGGAGCTTGGTTGGAATGTCATCGGGCTGCATTTTGGAGAAATGCAACCCGATTGGAGATGCTCTTAGTAACAATTTATTCACTTGTTACAACAGACTCCTTTTTATGCTTCTTCAAAATACAGAAGTAAAAGAGGTGTATTAACCTTCAATTGGCCATCAATATTCTCAAGGTTAGAAATTTGTACAAACCCATAGAATTAAATGGTAGATTTTTTAATTTTCTTTTAACAAAGTTGTCTCTCTTATCCCATTGCCAAATTAGCTTAATGTGTTTAATGGTCAAAATATTTTCGTAATCTAGCCGTATACAATTTTGCAACCATTTTGTAATCATACATCTCATCCAAATATTGCCCTTCCTTTGAGGCATCCTTTCATATTTTGATGGGGACCGAAGCACTTGTCATGGTCACTAATGAGCTCTTGACGTGAGGATAGCAAGAAGCCAAAGAGTGCCGACGTGGTTATTATACCTGGTCATAATTATACGCGGTTAACCTTAATTAAATTAACATGATACTGAGAAGTATATCAATTAACCTTGTACCTTTCTTTCTATTCCCAATTCCTTGTCAATTTAAGCCCCACAAGTCTAATATTTTCCACTATATAATACGTAAACATCATGCACTGTTGATTAAATACCGAGAACTTTCATGAAACATGGTCAAATCAAGATGCAAAGCATGTGTGGATGGCACATGAACCGTGAAATCCGCTACATTAATTACTTCTTTGCAACGAGACAAATTAAGGGCCACACCAAATTATTAGATTAATCAAGGTTATCACTGACTCGGAAGTTTATTTAAGTGATTTATTCCCTAAACCCTTCCCATTAACGCCGGTACTATCTGAATTTTAAGAATCATGCATGTGACGATAACTTAATTTTCGTGCTCAATCTAACGTGAGGGGTTATTTTTAATCTTGATTTAGCATCTAATAAAACTGGTTATATGTTGTGAAAACGGCGAAGGAATTGTGAAAAACGTGAAGAATAACCCAAAACAGACTCCACCACACCCTGGTGTGGTGTCTGCCATGGGTGTGGTAGAATCTGTCCTGCACCACACCCTCTGCCACACCCACGGTACAGGGTGTGGCAGAACAGAGCACGGGCAACGCTTGGGCTATTTGGAGGAGTAGATCGCTTTGGAAGTTCATCTAGGGCTTCGTTTGGTGATAAAGGTGGGATCTTTTTTTGTAAAAATCTCGTCTTTTTCAGTTTGGATCTATTTCTCGTTTGTTTCCGCATTGGTTTGGTGGTGTTTTGAGGATTATGGCCGAGAAAGAAGGAGTTGTGGGCAGTACTTCCGGCGTGAAGACCGTCCAAAGCTTGAATATCCACTCAATGAAGATTGATGTGGAAAAGTTCAATGGCACAAACAATTTTGGACTTTGGCGATGCGAAGTCATGGATGCGCTCAACGCGCAAAATTTGGAAGATACGTTGGAGTTGGACGGGAAACCGGACAACATTGATGAGAAGGTTTGGAAAAAGATGAATCGAACGGCGTGTGGTGTGATTAGGTCTTGTCTCACTCAAGATCTAAAGTATGATGTGATCAATGAGACTTCTGCAAAGAAGATTTGGGAGATCCTTGAGAGCAAGTATTTGACCAAGAGTGTGGAGAATCGCTTGCATTTGAAGAGGAGGCTTTACCGCTTCCAGTTGAAGAAAGGAACCTCCATTGGTGATCACATGAACCACTACACGAAGCTTCTTGCGGATTTGACGAATGTAGATGTGGTGATTGAAGATGAGGACAAGGCGTTGTTGTTGTTGAGTTCCTTGCCTGACGAGGAATATGAGACCTTCGTTCTTACTCTTATTAATGGGAAGGCATCTCTTTCGTATAGTGAGGTCACCGCTGCACTTGTGAATTATCAGCTTCGAAAGAAGGATAAGGAGACTTCGTTTGAGCCGGTAGCGGGGGCGTTGGTCGCAAGAGCAAAGGGTCCAAACCGTAGTGGGAGGTCGCAGTCTAGAGGGGCACATCTTGGAGTTCGTAAGAATCAGTGTGCCTTTTGCAAAGAGGATGGACATTGGAAAGCCGAATGCCCAAAGTTAGTTGATCGAGCCGGGAAGAATAAGGGAAAATCTATTCAAGCTTCAGAGGCGAATGTTGTCAAGGCTAGTGGCAACGATTCAGATTCAGATTCTTCGGGCTACTCATTATCTGCACTACTGTCAGTTTGTGTTGTCTACTCTACAGAGTGGATGTTGGATTCGGGGGCTACATACCACATTTACCCTAGGAGGGATTGGTTCTCCAGCTTTCAGGAGTTGGAAAGAGGGGATTTCGTGCTCATGGGGAATGATCACAAATGCTCTATTGGTGGTATCAGTATCGTTTGGATCAGGATGAGTGACGGGGTGATTCGGGAGTTGGTTGGAGTGAGGTTCGTTCCTCAGTTGAAGAAGAACATCATTTCACTTGGAGCTTTGGAGGCAGCAGGCTATAGGGTGACCTTGGCGGATGCACGCTTGAAGGTTACATTTGGGTCCATGATTGTGATGAAGGGCGTCAGAAGAAGAAATTTGTATTATTTGCACGGAAGCACGGTGATTGATAGGGAAATGACGACTTCATCAGATTCGGCTAGACTGTGGCATTGTGAGTGCTATGACCTGCAGATTGAAGTCTTGTGAGCATATTGGGATGAGCAAGACCGTGGTGGAGTTTGGCATTCCTATCCATCGAGCGAGGGGTCTTTTAGGAGGTGTTCAGTCAGGTATTTG